TCTGAGATGCCAAACTTTTGGCGAGTCAGTTCCAAGGAGTTCTCCTTCGCAGTCGTATCTCATTTTGTCGTGATTTTTTTCCGAAATTACAGTCAAAGTTGGGAGCGTAAACTGTCATTTTAAAAAAGGCTTTCACACAATCTTCATTTATTTAAAGTGTCAAAAGCAACTATTTTTCTAAAGAAGATTTGTTTATGCCATTTTGAAACTTAAATGCTGCTGCATTCAACTTCAGTGCTTGTTGTGCTATTTTAAATTTGCATACTTAAAATCTCTTAATAGACCCCTTTTTTTTAAACACACTGAATAAGACTGTTGAAATTGGCGAGATCGAAGAGACCGCCGTAACTCCTTGAAACGACCGCGGCTTCGATCATGCTGAGCATCATCGCCAAGGTCGACGGCTCTCGTCTAGCTGCATATATAGGTAGGCGATAAAAACGGGCTGTTTATGAGTCGCTTGTTGAGAAGTGCCGCACGGATGAGGATTAACTGCCGCGTACACATCTCGGGATCGGTGGAGAACAAGGCTGGAGGCGAGAGGAAGGAGAGAAGAAGGAAGACGAGTCGAGACATTAGGTGCAGACGTATTACGGACCTGGCGAGCTGCCACGCGGCGTTACAAGAGTAGAGAGAGACTCGTTTCCAAAACTTGTTTCCGTCCGCATTGTGGCCGGAATCCTTCCGCGGCGTCGTCGGCATCACGGTGCTTTCGCCGCGGGAAAAGCTCGCGATGCTGGAAACGGTAGTCTCGCGAGGGCGTTTAAATAGCCTTAACAAAGTAGATTATACGCTGTCGACCGCGCACTCGATCGGTTTTAGCGCGTACCTTTTAACGTGACCTACTTCCACGTGACCGCGCAGGACGACCATAAATACCGAACATACAATAATAGATTATTGTCGGGTGAATATATTTTTTTATCGAGTAAGTATTTTTATTACAAAATGTGCGAGAGATATTTTTTTACTTGTGAAAACTTTTGAGAAATAAATTGTTGCGATTTCTTCAAGCTTCATGCAGTTTTGACTTCTGCATTTTATATTAATGCAATTTAATGTGACTTGAGTGACATTTTAAAAGATCTATAAAAATCTTTTTTCTAACAGACTTCTTCGCGTTGAATTCAACATCTCGTTAAAGTAAGATCCACTTTAAATTAATATGATTCCGTTTACGTCGATCGAAAAAAAGGAATACTTCAAAGAGTGCCGTGAGATATAAAGCTATCACGCCATTGCGTGCAACTTTAAAAGACCTGTCGGAAACATGTGCGCGATGTAACGTATTGCGCTTTGAAATATCGATTGTGCACGGAATGCCGACGTGACAGGGAACTCTGGGAAACTATTTGCCACGAAAGGGAAAGACGGAAAGAGAAAGAAAGAAAGAAAGAATACCAATTACAACTAGGCTATTTCGTCTTATATAGGAATGACACGACGCTTTTATGCGTTACCAGCGCGGAAAGTTTAACCTGTACCTGTATAAAACAGGTTCTTTTGTACATTGGTCCTACTCTTCATCTTTTGGTCATAAGTAGCATATAAGAACGTAATGAATTCCCGCGGACATAACGAACCAAATGAACCGATGGATACGTTTTATAAATGTGTCGTGTTCACGACGAGAATGAGAAAAAAAAAACACAAAAATCCTGCCCGGAACTGGCTTTACCAGTGCAAAATCTGGTTTGACAGCTTTCCTCTAAAACAAGTTTTAGGGAATCCAAGATATGTGTGATAGAGGAAGACGGACGATATCTCTTGATCGATTGTCAGTAAAAAACATAATGTCCTATGTAAAATAAATTGTTACTTCTTTTTTTTAAATGTCAAATGTTATCTTCACATAATACATAGATAATAGTCTAATATATAGAGCCATAAAATCGATACCTTGTCTTCGTATTGTTACAATGGATCGATAAATAGGTCTAGAAACTAATAAAATGTCCACGCCTTCAAAAGAAACCGGTTCTTCCGAAAGAGTCCAAGCGACCGCGCGGATTATTATCGTAGCGATAATCGGTGAAGCGAATATTCTAAAAACGTTACATCACCCGCGTTATACTTTCTAAAAATACACAATGACCTTGAGTGGCCTTCCAACGCCTACCCTGATTTCCTACTTACGGAGAGGAAAGGATTTACGAGAATATCGCAACCGTTGCGAAGACTCGGAGTTTCAACCAACACACGCAACGACGACGTGACGTTAGTCGACCTTTACAATCGTCTTTGTGACGGACGATAACGTTCTCCAAGTGAGAAGTCAACTGCTCGGAGATAACGGATGGCTTCTGCATGCGCGCTTAGTGAGAGTCAACGTACTCGTGATAACGCGGCCGGGTTGCGCTGTCTGGATAACGATAACACGATAGCACCACGATTACGAGCAACGTGTGTGCAGCGCGATATAACACGATCGTGATTACCCGCCAGAACTGACCGAATTATAAGCGAGATTACCCCGGAAAAAAATCTGTGATTTATCAGACACAAATGTGTGTATGTGTGTGTGGAAATTAATAATTATATTTTGAGAAATTTATTTAATATTTCATACGTAATTAAGTACAAAAATCTCGAGATTTTTAAAAATTTAATTAATGTTAATTAATTTAATTTTAATTTAATTAATTCTAGCTAATTTAATTTTATTATTACATCAAATCTGTGATGTGTTTTTGCTTCATTAGATGGGTGGTATTCTGATAGTGTGACATTAAATAACGTTGAAACAAACAATTTTTCATCACGATTAAAGTGATTAATTTTGTGATGTAAAATTCTCCGTTCTACGATTCTGATATTTTTCTATTTTTGAAATGGAAACTGTATACACGCACACGCACATATTTTTCTCGCGACTCGATAACATGACTTTGTCAGTAAATTACAATAATAAGTATTTATTCGCGCGTATGCGATGCGTTTAACGGAGTGTTATGCGGCAACGGAAAAAGATCTTCATTTCGCAACGAGAGCGTGTGTTACCCGGAAACAACGAACTTCATTCTCGTCGTTCGCCGATCGACGATAACGAGTGTGCGCTGATACAGAAAGAAGAATGGTGAGGTTATCATGGCGATACACTGGTTCATCGTACACGACGAGTTTATCGAAGCGATGAAAGTTTAAGAAAAACAGAGAACGCACAATATTGTACTTGCAGTTGCATTAATGAATCAATTAATTCGACCATACGATATCGATGCAATCCAAATATTTTGAAAGAAAACTTTTAGAAATTTTTTTCTACTTGACAATACAGTTTTCCACAAATAAAAAAATATTGTATACGCGATATGTTAAAATTCAGAAAAGTAAGATTATTTATGATAAAAATAAGATAATATATAATAAAATAATATGATATTTTGTTTTATAATAAAGCAATGGACAGTTACTTTAATCATCTTATTCCGAATCCGGAAAATAATGGTTATTATATGTATAATACGTACGACGCGAGACTTTTGTCGCATCCTCGAAATATTTCCGCCGACGACGATAAATCCGCAATATGGAATATTCAGAAGTTCAGCGAAGTCGTAGATAGTTAAACAGAAACAAATGTGGCTCCATAAATAATGCAGGCGCGCGCTTACAACAGACGCGTGTTTAGCGTTTTCTAAAGCTCGTTATTTATAGAAGAGACCGCGATATTTGCATGTTTAACCTGTTCTTTCTTTATAATTTCTCGTCAACGAATTGGGAAACCAAACAAGAGAGCACTTGAATTATACTATACTTAAATATCCCGATAATTTATATACTGTCAACGTAAATTCCACAGTTAAAAACAATTAAATTTATTTTAATCTGAAAAAATAATATATCGAAAGTCTTTTTTTTCTTTTACGAGAAAAAAAAAACTTGTTTTTAATTAAGTTTATCACCCGAAGGCTATGAGAGTCTTGACATTTTCGAGAAGGAAAAATCGACTTCGCGGTGATCAATAAATAAATAAATAGCATCGTCGGCGCAAAAAGAGCTGATATTTACCATAGTTCCGCTATAACTGCGTTCGCGTGTCGCGAGCGCTGGTTGGAGAAAAATTACTGGCAATAAAATGCAATGTAACAACGCAAGAAAAATAACGGGCCGAATACCGGCGACGGTGAAAAAAAAATAGACGCAACGAAAGCGAAATAAACGCGTTTGGGGAAAAAATAGCAGGTCTGTGGCATCAGCCGCAAACGTGAACCACCACGAATACGAGAAAAACCGTACCGCTAGAGTACTGAGAGAAACGACTTACGTACGCATGTAATATGTAAGTATGAGTTTTGCCGGAGGAACGTGCATTTACCACCTAATCGCGCGATGAATCAAGCAGATAGCCGTGGGCGAGCGTCGGAGAGCACAATTATTTCCATAGAAAATTAATTTATCGCCACGCGAGAGAAAAGAAACGTGGGTACCGAGATTTTGCGCGAGTGAATTTTTTTAGCGGTACTTTTATCTCTCACGACATCTCTGGTTTAAAGTCTTGACGCGTTTAACGCTTCAGCTTGACGCCCGTTTCTCTTATATTATAAATAAGCGCCATTTATTGCGTCTATCATCGTCGATATACACAAGGGTTATCGTCGCCCGCTCCTCGACATAGCTGGGCTGATTGTGTTAGTTTCTATCACTTCGTGCACGAGAGAATTCTCTCACTGCATTATAAATTGAGAACATCGCTTAATGGCGCCGTATAAACTTTACTTGATAGTGCTTCGTGTAAATCAAGTCGGAGATAAAAATAGGAAGTAACGTGAGAGGACTGTTCAAGAAGCTGTGCTAAACAATTCGCGAAATCAGCGAAATATCTACGAATATTAAAAAGAAAAAAAAATAAATTCGTCTCTTTAACTTTGGCAGATTTGAGATCAAGTAATTAAACTAATCACGTCGTACATTCGCGAGTGTTGTAGCACCGCTTGCTCGAAAAAAGAAACGAGATTGAATTTACGGAGCATAATGCTCCCGTGAACATGTGGACTTACCGTGGCGAGGCAGCGCCGAATGAGGGACGGAGGGCAATAAGCATGCTGCATATTTACCTGAAACAAAAGACCATCGTTAATAGCCTGGCATGTTGGTGGGCGCGACAAACGTTGCACTGAATAGTCCGACAAACGCGCGCACCCGGTCATAATGACTTAGGGTCTAGTTGGGAACAAAGGCGTCGGTAACGCTAACGGCCTGCAAAATTATACGTAAATGCGCCGCTTAGGCATCCGATTAATAACGCACCTCGTCCCCGGTACTCTACGCAATCAGCTGTGATCAGTGACGTAACGCGACGATCGAATCAATTCTTCGATTTGGAAAATACAAATCTCTTTAGAAAACAAGAAGAGATCTCTCAACAAGAAGAGATTAATTACAACAAAAACATTTAATAATAATAAACCTGAAAAAGCTTTTTATAAAAATTATACATATGTACTTCAAAGCCGAAATACATTGTACATATATGCTTCCAATATTCTCGCTATTTTCCAAGACCAAAAAGAAGGTCGCGGTTGTTAAAGGTGCGATGTCCACGAACGGATACGAAAACGTGTCGCCAGGTGCGCGCTTTTTAAAAGCAGCGGCCAGCCGACCATTTATGAGTATAACCGGTGTTCCGATTTTTTTTTCCTCGTCTCTCAAGGCCTTGAGAAACGCGCACATTTATAACGTGTCTCGGAGCAGTTTCGTCTTCCTCTTTAATTTTTCTCGTCGCTCGAGCACGCGCGGATTAATTTATACATAAAGTCGAAGGTACGGAACTCCAGATGTTTACGCACCTGTCAGCCCTTTCTGTTTACAAACGGATATACTATTTTTAAACCCCCATCATCCACTCCATCGACAAAGTCGTTGAAATCTAGTGAAACTTTCAACGCAAATCCCTAGTTCATTCTTTTTCATTATCGCGTAATGAAACCATTCTGTTTTTTTTTTAGTTCTACAACGAGGAAAAGTTATGAAACAATTATCGCTTCATTTATAAAACACATTTACTTATCGTAAGAATAATTCTATTTTTACATCATCGTCCCATTTAAAAATGCAATCATCAAATATTTGCTTATACGCTTGCGAGAGCATATTCATAATCTGAGGTCTAGTTCGAGTGTAATTTATCTCGCTGGTTTTTTCTTTACGACTTACGTCGCGAGTTGATGACGAAGTTGCAGTATTAATACAAACGCAAGTTCTTGCCATAGCTGTTTGTTGACCTCGACGTTGCGACGAGTCATTAATTTATCGTAGTCACCGTCGGGAATACTTTGCGAAGAGTATTCTCGCTCGTTACACAACGATTGTGAATTACGTCAGAGTCACGACCGATTCGACTTCGAGATGAATTGTATAAATATTTACAGATATCATTCAAATTTCAATAAAAAATACTACCGGCCTTGACTATGTTTTTGCTTCTCATCAGTGAGATTTTCAATGCGGTAGTCTTGTTGCTTTGTGTCAAGTGTAACACTGTCGACAAGATTTTTATCTAACGATAGAAATTTTTAAATAAAATGATTCACAAGAATTAAAGCTACGTCACATTTCTTTGATGCAACAACTGATAAATTTTTAACAATATTTAATGTCACGATTAAATAAATTGCGAAGTAAATAAAATATGCGAATATGTAAATATTTCTGGAAGTTATCTATAAAGGATCTTTTCTGCTCTCTCTCTTTTTCTCTCTATTATTTTAATTTTCATCTAAACCAATTTTTTAATATAACGAAATTCAAGTTCTCCAATTACCTATAATAAAAATCGATAAAAAAATCACGCGGTAAAATTGTGTTAAAGCCGACAGAAAATAGCCAGAAAATCATAAAAAAGTGACTGATCGATCGATCGAATTCTATCCTAGCAAACAAAGGCAGCAAGATCGTCTCGCGTGCACAGAACTCTTTGTGCAGTTCTCTCTTCTTTTGCCGAGAACAGCGATAGATCGACGAGTTTAATGATCGTCGATACTCAATATGCGCGAAGTCTGTTCCAGGTCCTCCCTTTGCGATCCTCCTCTCCAATCGTTTCTCTTTCGAGGTCTACCTGCCTCGTTTACCCGTTCAACACGTCATTATCGAACCGGTTGCTGCACTTTGCCGTTTGCTGCAGCTGGCAATATCGTGCTCTCTCACGCTCCCCCTCTTTCGACTCTCATTCAGCGCGCCGACGCTCAACGAAGGATCGATCGATCTTCGTGACTCGATCGTCGAGACTTATATTTGCGCGATCGAGCGGATTATCTCGAAGCTGGTGCACACTTTCCTACGGCTTTCGCCGGTTGCGGCCGGGCGAAAGAGCACGGCAAGGTCATTAAATCAGCAACGCGCTGTGTAATTGTCGAGGAATTGATTAGCGAAATTGCGCGAGTTTATATGCATCGCACGAAAGTTGACTTAGATCGCGAAGACTGGATAAGAACTTAATTAAATTAATTAACTCGATATTGATTTCACTTTTTAACACGTGACTCTTGACTCGAGTCATATTGAACTAACGCTGAAAGGCGAGTCGAGTGATGACACTCGAATGAAAAACTGTCTTGCGAAAGAAACGGATATACGAGAAACTCATTCGAGACGAGAATCAATAATCCGTACAAATCGAACGCTCTTAAAGAGACCCCATCGAAACTAATAGAAATATTTTTTCTCTCTCTCTCTCTCTCTCTCTATTCTTTTAATACTTTCTCGTCCAATTGTATTGGAAATACATTTATTTCCTCCATTATATATATCTTACTTCGATATTCAGAATGATAAGAGAATGAACAAAAATCGTACAAATAGAGATCGTGACAAATCACGATGTGCACTAAAGTGAAGGCGCCGTTTTGAAAAACGAAGACATTTTCACATTAATCGAGTACGCAATTCGGAGGGAAGCACATAAATCAATCGTTTTTATTCGCTCTGATTTCAGACATAGTCCGGGAAGCGATTTTTCGACGACTATCGAGAAACGTATCGAAACGAAACAAAAACTCGTAAGAACGATTACAGTCGCTGAGAATGCATTTTGAAACACTACAGGGTGATTCTTGGCGGAGAGTCTTCGGGTGTGTTCCAATTTCGCGAAGAGAATAATTAATAAAAGAAGAAGAGAGGAACAAAGCGCGTGTCTCTCAATGTCTTGACCGACATTGCCGACAGGCGTGTCTCGCGCGTTTGCGAGAGGAAAAAGGAAGCGGGTTAAGCCGCGCGCCGATTGACAAATATTTGCGAAGCGTGCTCGGCGAACGTTCGTGGAGATTCTCTCTCTCTCTCTCCTCTCTCTCTCTGGACACTTTCATCTTTTTATCGATAATGTCGCGCGTTCGTCTCGATTCGATTCGAATCCTTCCCTTTTACCTGACGCTCCACAAATCGAGTCTCGGAAAAGACGCGCCGCGCTTCTTATGCACGTTAAGCCGCTGAAGCAACTAAGAATTTGTCGTCGGGTATACGCGAAAGTACTTTCTATTTGATTCGTGTTTCTTCGAATATTTCTTCTTCGTGGGAAGATATGGTTCGTTAATGTGCCATTTCTCGAGCAGGAAGATATGGCAAAGATTTTGCCACGAAAGATTATATTAAAAATTCACAATGGGAAATAAAATTGTGAAAAAAAGAATTAGTTACTTAAATCTTTTCTGTAATTTATATCCTGCAACTATCGGACAAATATACATTATTTAAATAATTAAAATATTCGAAAGTGAATATTAATTCCAAAAATATATCAAGATATTTATATACGTTTTTAAAATTATTGCGATGTCTTTCTTTATTCACCAGCTATTCCTAACAAAAGTAATTTTATCCTTGACGACCGTTTATTTATATACACATTGATAGCTATCACTCGTTCGTTAAAATCGGACGACATTTTGCTCTCTTTTGTCTCACTCCGAAGACTGATCTAATAAAGATAAATGAAGAACCCCACGGACGTATTTCATCTCGCACGGACTGACGTCCAACGAGACATGGTACAAGATAATTCATCTCGAACAGCAAACAGTGTGTAACGGATGAAGGGTACGAGAATAACATAAGCCGCGCTAAGCGCTCGGAGAAAGGATGAGCACGAAGAGAAGAGCACCGAGAGACACGCACGACGCACGTTGCGTATTAGCGACAAGTCGGGTTCTCCGACTGGTTGTTTCACGATACTCGACGCGGATCTGGTTTCGATTTTATTGCCCCGGCAGGCAATATATTTCGTCTTTTACGATTTCTCCGTCGCCGTCCTTTTTTTAATTTTGCGTATAGCGACCTTCGTTAAAAAATGGGTTAAAGAAACATCCGTAAAAATCTGAATCCGTGCAGCGTAAGCATTTTTCGCTCTATCTCGTAAAAAGCCATCACTGCAAAAAGGGTATCTCGAGGTCCCATATTTCTCTCATTTTTCTTGTCTTATAATTTTTATGATGGTGTAGAAAAAAAAATGCTAATAAAAATAATAATTTGAAACATTAATTTCTCAAAAATCAAGTTTTTAAAAATGTTTAAGTTTAGACGGAACAAATAAAAATTGAACCTTCTTTAATTTGTCTTTGCTTCAATCCACTTTACTACGAGGCTTACTAACGAACGAGACATATTAAGCTCCACTTGGACACATTCAACGAATCGATATATATTTGACGCGATTGCATACCAAGTAATAAACTTACGGCGAAACCGAAAGAGAGCTGTGCGAGACAATTTCATTCGAGTTTGCGGATTCGCCAGCACAGAGAGATCGATCCTTCCTATCCGGACAGAATCGGCAAAACGAGCGAGAATCGAAGCGGCAAGATTGTTTTTCGCGAATTGGCCGCCACGATTGTCGGGAACTCGATTACTCGATTCGCGCGTAACAGAAGGGGGGCGAATCTAAATCCGATTTACCGGCGAATAAGTCGATTCGCCGCAGAATTTCGTAGTGCTCGATCGAGGAGCGAAGGGTCGAGATTGGCGGTCGACCGCGAACGGTGAACCGGCGCGGCTTCGATAATTTGGCCGTAATTTCGTTCACGGAAACCGTCGAACGAAGTGAACCGCGAATTCCAAGCGAACAAAG